AAATTATTATTCATTGATTTGTTTGGTTTTTCAAATCTTTTGGAGATACTAATATCCTTTACAAAATGTTGTGAATGATTCCATATTTAATAAAACATGAGTTATGTATTGGAAGGATGTTGTCATATTACAGTTGAAAATTGATTGTGACCATTAATGTTTTGAATAAATTTTTTCAATCAAACTCAATAAATGTTTTGAAGAACTCTTTAATGATTTACTGTGAAAATTATTTGGGAAGAAGATTCTTCATTCGATAGTACAATATTGATGAACACACTTAGTTCAGCGTCAAAATTCGACAGTTAGAAACCATCGGGCTAGACATTTCAACCGTCATACTTGACATTTAGAAATTCTTGGGATAGACATTTCAGTTGTCGAATTTGACACAATGAAAACTGTCAGGATAGACATTTCAACTTGCGGTTTGACATTTTGCTATTGTACGGATTTAATATTCGAATGTGCATGCCATTAAATGTCGATATATTGATTGTACAAAATTCTTATCATTGCAATCTCAACTTTTCATGTATGAGTAATTATTTGAGATTCATCGTGTTGCACGAGAGAAAGTTTGTTTATGTGGATGACGAATTGAAGTGGAGAGGGGCCAAAACCACTTCCATTGTAGTTCCGACAAGTATCACCTTGGGCGATCTTGTGTTACAATTGAAGAACAAACTTGATATTCTTGATCCTCGCACTCAAATTAAACTTCAAACCGAACATGAATATACATCTGGTCGAAATATGCGAAGATGACTTAAATTAGTACATATCAGTTCATAAGGAAACTTCTATACACATTACTATTTTGGAAGTCGAGCCTCCAATTGTTATCATGGGGAATGATACAAATTTTCAAAATCTTTCATTTGTCGTGGCGGATGTTCACTGAAATGTACAACATGATGAGGTCGATCAACTGCATAACGTCTCAAATGATAATGCACCCGATGCATAAAATTTTGATATTGGTGTTGCACCAAAAGATGAGAACTTGGATAACCCACTATATGAAGCAATCCAATTTTGTCTTATGCTAATCAAACAAGCCGACAAATATGTCGAAGACAAAGAGAAACCAATTATCTAAAATAAATAAAATTAGTGCCATAAAAGCAATGACCAAGGATTCTCACAAGCTGCATATTGTAAAAGAGTTTTCACTTAATTGATTTCTAAATAGATAATGGAAGAAGCATTCTTCACTTCTTTTTCCTAGCCAGTCTATCTTTATAATTTTCGTGTATAAAAGCACTAGAATTGTAATAAATACTAAAATAGGAGCAAACCTTAAATGTCTACAATGTAAAGAAATGTCATAGAAAATGAGGAATGATAAAATGATAAGTTCCCATATCACAAAGATAGCAACATCCACCAAACACAGCATATGAGAAACGAAAATTCTCGGATATGTATAAGCACAAATATAAACAACCACCAAATCGTACTTATAATCAAATTTTTGGAGGGAAGCAACTATGGTCATTTAGTACACAACCACCAAATCGAGTTTAACATAGTATTAACAAACTTTCTCGCTCTATATCTTGACCATCTTTTTCCTTCCATTGGTAAATGGAGTTCTGCTAAATGCTATAGAAAATCGAACACGTGTCGATCGAGCCCTCTTTATGTTAATTGCATTATTGTCTTCAACTGGTATGGTAGCTACCACCGGCATGTCAGTGACATTGCCTACGCAAAAGTAGTATGAATTATATTAGTTATCAAAAATGTCAAATAATAACATATATGGTCTACGAACATCTAATTATCCATTCGGCTACCTAAAATCAATATTGCCGACTCATTTGCCTTATCAGATCTAATCGATTAGAATACCAATTGTGGGATCAATTGGACCGAGAATTGTAGGACAAGTAACTCGGCCAGGAACCTAAGACATGATTTTCCGAAATCTTTCCGCTATCGATCATGAAAATTCTCAAATACGATTTTCATGAACTTGAAATTTCTCCTTTGAGAAAAGTAGCACGCCCATTTTCGGAAACCAGAAATTCAAAATTTATTTGCAAGAATAAGGTACAACAAGAAAGCAAAAAATGCCAAATTATAATAATCCATATATGTTAATGCAAAACACACAAATATAATGTTCAGATGAATCAAAATTGGACATGTCAATAGATGACTGCAAAATTGACGTGTCACGAAGAAGTCATATGTTGAGAAATACTGACTTCATATGTCAAGAACGATAGTTCATCTGTCGAGAATGACAATTTATATTGACAAATGACTCAATTGATCCGTCAAGATTTAATCATCTGTCGAGAATAATCGAAACTAATTATCGAGGAAGATAGTTCATCTCAACTGGTAAGTCACATAACCGATCTGTTGAGAATTAGTCATCTGTAGAGAATTCATAACAAAGGTAAGACGATGATATATCGTACATTTAATATGTAACGTAGATGATCAGCTGAACCAAATGAGACATATGAACAAAACTGTCAAGAAAAAGTAAGTAACGTCGAGAATTCCATAACTTAAGTGTCAAAAACGACAGTGAATCTCGACAGATGAATTTCATAACCGTAAAGATTGACAGTTTATCGCAATCTATGAATTCCATAACAAATAATTGGAAGTCTCTATAACATTAACGAAGTATCATCAAAATAGGATGACTAAACTCTTTCAATAATTAATAAAAATATATAACACCTATAACATGTAAATGGAATATCAAATACAAACTTTTTTACTGTAGCAAGTGCAATTAAAACCAAGCTTATTATTTGATTTCTACAACCCTAATGGCAAAAGGTATTCTTCTTCGAAATTAACGATTAAAGAATATTCTAGCAAACACATATTTTTAGCACAAATCGACAAGCAATTCATGAGTATTGCAAAATATGTTACAAAAATATTGCAGAATACAAGAAATACACTACACTTCTTGCAAAATATGAGAAATGTTGCAAAATATATGCTACCAACACATTTTCAGCACAAAATATTGCAAAATACAGGAAATACACCACACTTACAGTTATACTTCGTGACCAGCTTCGCTGACTAGAAGTCAAATCTAAAGCTTTGAGGCCAAGAGTTGCGTGGAAGAAGAAATTGCCTTCTTGGGTTTAGAAAGAAGAAAATCAATGTTTTATTATGGGTTTACGATCTCAGTTCAGCAGGCTTCTTTTCCAAAATGGGGGAAATTGTCGAAAATGATTTGTGAAGAAGAAAATCATGGGCCAAAAAAATCACAGAGTAATTTTTGAGAAGAAAGTGAAAGTGGGAAGCATTATGGGTTAGGGTTTGAGTTTTTAGGATTGCGTTTCGAAATTGAGGTTGAGATGAGGGTAGGGTGGGTTTGATACGATGTTTTCTATTTTCTTGAACTAACTTTTCATCTAGTCAAATCACCATAATTTAAAGACATGAGGTATTTAAATTTTCTACAGGGGCAAAAAAATCCAAAAGTGACATATTTGTCAAAATTGTAAAAATGTGGCATTTTTGTAAATGATAACCAAAAAAGTGCCAATGGGTGCAATTTCCTCATAAAATGATTTTTGTTTAGCAGTGTCTCTTCCCTGTTGAACTACTATCGGGGATAAGCAAAGTTACCTTTCTTGACTGGGACTTCATTCTTGTATTATTGACAAGTGCTCTAATTTGGGCAGTATCAACAAAAGTTGACTTTTCAATGAAGATTTTAATGGATATCTTTGGAATTAATTGTGCAACAACAATCAAAATATGTTTTTATTTTGATGATCTATTCATGCAAATCTCTATCCTAGGTTTCTTCTCATTCATTTCTCTTATCCATTTTTATCTAATTAAGTGCTCTATCAACTGCAAAGTCGAGTCACCAGAAATTGTTCGAAATCTGCAAGTTAAACAACAGCATATACATTCCTCATGGATCATGTTAAATCATCAAGCACTAATTATTCATGGATATTAGTACAAAACTCAAATAAAATGTCCCAAAACTCTGGTCACCCCATAACTCGGAAAGCGGCTAGCAAGCATTAATCGTTGCAGAATGATCAAAAAGTTGAGAATTCCTTAATGAATTCATGGATGTGAGCATTAACTTCCTCGGCTCTCTCTTGGTTGATGAAGTGACCGGCTCCTTGGATCACGACGCATTCCTTCAATAATGGCACATCATTTTTGAACCCACCTCCATGTACATATTCCTTCATCCCTGGAGTAGTGTACACCATATCCAGATCCCCCACAATGAATTTAACTGGAATTTTTATCTGTGCTCCTGTCCATGCTGCAGTTAGTTCCCAGTTTCTGCATCAGTAAAAAGTACCGACTTCAGTTCTGCTAAAGAAAAAACTCGAGCACACTAACACATTGACAGGTGCATGTTTGGTAGGTAGTACTCTGGCAAGGCTAAATGTTATAATGAACAATTATGGAGAGCTATGAGTCGTCCACCGTACCAAACATGCCATCAGCATATTTCATATGTTTCAATGAAATTAGTGCATACAGATCAAGTACACGGTAATAGTTCAATCCTCCAGTGAATCCATTGTGGTTATATTTACTAGCATAATATTTGAGATCTTCATCTGAAAACCATGCGGGTAATTTGATATCATCAATGTCACGGAGATTCCCAAACGGGTTTTGTTTGGGTAAGATGGGAGGACCCGGTTTACTATCAGTAAGAATTTTCTTGATCACAGCTGCAGCTCCATATTCTGCAATTTCTGATTCCATCTTTCCAGGCTCCTGCAAATTTTAAACCGCAAGAAATTTAATAAAAAAAGGTTCAAGATAAGAGAATTAGTACTCTTCTTTGCAATTCGAATTGACTAGGTAAAATTACTTTTAGGTAACTTTCTGTATAGAACATGATTGAATTTGCACGATTCTTGTTTGAGTTAAAATCCTCACGAATAAACAAATCCTGTTCCATCTGAATTATTTTAATTCATTGCAGATATTAGGTGGTAAAGAAATTGAGTCATAATGAAAAAGGAATTGACCGTTGGTGTGGATGTTCATTATGTTGCAGATTCAAAATTTTAAGGGAAAAAACATGGGCAAATGGGCAATATTGCTAGCTAGCTAGCTGTAGAATCCAGATTCAAACTGAACAGCAATCAATGATCATGTCCTGCTAACTTTCAAAGGTTAACTTATAAGTAAATAAGGAAGTTGTTTATTCTAAGATTTAAAATAAGTAACTTTTTTTAACCCATGCCAATCTTGTTGAATATAGTGAGGTTAATGGGAAAAAAAAAACCTGGAATCTGCACATATAATAGTCATCACCAAAGAAAGCTAGCATGCCCTCAATAGGCTTCAATATGGGATGCCTTGGCCGGAAGGGCACAGTTAAAGACGCGAAAGCCTTGATCAAATCGGGTCGAAACATGCACAAATACCAGCCAACCATGGCGCCCCAGTCGTGCGCCACCAAGAACACTTGATCAACGCCGAGGGACCCTATCAGAGCCACCATATCACCCACCACGTGAAGGCAGGTGTAGCTGGTGATGGATGAAGGAGCATCGGTGTCGCCAAAGCCACGAAGGTCCGGTGCGACGGCTCGGTAACCTAAGGCGGCGAAGGCCAGGATTTGGTGGCGCCATGTGTACCAAAGCTCGGGGAATCCGTGGAGGAATAGTACTACTTGGCCTTCACCTTTTTCAGCTATGTGCATGTTTATGCCATTCACATTCACCATCTTGTGCTCAATCCCTTCCATCTTTATCTCTACCTAGATCTCTCTCTGCGGTCAAATAGATGCGTGTTATGGACTTGACATGTGATATGTCCTCTCTATATATTATATATTAGTATAATTTAGAATTTTTTAGAATAAATTTTATAAAAAGTTATATTTTCTAAGAATGTGTTGTTACATGCAAAATTATTTTATTGAAAAAAATGTATAGTTTAAATTGAGTTGGTGGAAATAAGTTAAAACGTATATGTACCAAACATGAGTTTAATATGGACTCACAAAAGATGAAAGTTCAAGAATGTCTAACAGACTAACTAGAGTTAAAAGGGAGGAGTTAATCTTCTGTTTGGTAGCCATTTTTCAGCAAAAAAAGACGGAAAAAATGACCATTGAATAAGTAAAAAAAGACGGCTGTGGGAGGGAAAGTCAAAAAAATTGGCGGAATTTGATTTCTAACAGGCAAAAAAATGCATTCTTTGATCTGAAAAATAGCTGCAAACAGAAGCTAAGATGTAGTTTGAAAATATTTAATGAAACGTAATTAGATCTTAATCAATACAAGAAATAATGATATAGCTCTTTGGGTTGCATTGACCCATCATGGCCCATATTACATTATCACTGAAAGCGCACTCATGATGGGATTATATGCGAGCATTGTCGATGTATCCTCTTCAAGGTAATGCATGTTTGCTCGTGACAAGCTTGGTTGGCCCAAGAGCCTACACTAATGCCCTTGGACGTCGCACGAACTATCCATAACCGTGTCATATAGTCTCATAAGGGGTTCGCTCGAAAGTTTCTCTAGTGATTGTGGGAGATTCTTGGCGTGCGTTCTCGCTGAAGATGTCAAAATATTCATAAAATTGATTGAATTTCACTTTCGTCGACTTTAGAATATAAATGACCGGTCCATGATTTGTTTGGTCAAACTGAAGCACAACGTTAAACATACGACTTCAAATTAGATTGGGTTGTTTCAAATACATAATAGTGTCCATAATGTGATGTGGATAAAATCCTGTTGTTGATATGAAAGTGTGAGATTTGAATTAATGGTTGAATCCAGTGCTCCGTGTAATTATGGACACTTCTCTTCTTCAAAAGATAAGGACAGGAGAAAAACAGAAATATAAATGCAGGTTATTAAAAACACAGCAAAATACAAATGCAAGAGATTTAGGCTACAGAAGCTTTGGAAATCTGTGATAATGATGTTGAATTTAAAAGACTTTTAATGGTGAGATATAGAAGATAAGTAGTCAAGTCGGTTTTGATGAGATATAAGCATATATTTTCCCTTCGAATTCATCGAAAATCTAGGATGTGTCTGTTTCTAAATTTTTATCAAATTTTTAGCCATTATTTGACCGTTGTCATGAATTCCAGCCGTAATAGTTGTTTGTCTCTCTCTCATGTGGGGCCCTCATGAATAAGGTAACGATCAATTTTGTAATTTTAATCCTGCAAAAAATCAGAACCAAACACAGTCCTAATTTAACTACATAAAATAATATTAAAAATAAAAGTCAAAATTTTTGGCCGCCACTAGTGCCAACTACTATCAACTTAATAATAAATGCTACTTTTTTTTCTTAAGTTAATTATTTTCCACTTAACACTTGTTTAATAAAGATTTTTGAAAATTGATTATTTAAAATTAATTTTTTGGTGAATGTGCAGTTAAAAGGAGAAAAAAATCATAGAAGTTGTGCCGCTAGCCCTATATCCGATGCGTTTATCTGGTGTATTTTATGTCGGCTTTGGGCTTGTCTTTTTTCTTTTTTAAAGAATGTATGTTTGTAAACGATTATGAGAAAGAAGTAATTTTTAAATAATCGAAATTTAAAGAGGACTTATGTGAGAAATTACAGGCACTTTATTTGAACTAACATGTGATAGTCACTCCAGAACAAGGTCATTTTCTTTGTTAGAATGTGTTCAAAGATAGTGCTACATAGAACATATTTAATGTAGATTGGCTTATTCGATTGAAACCTATCTATTTTGAGACTCCTAACTTGGGAGAATGAATAATTTATTATTATTATTATTATTTTGGTCAAAATATGAATAGATAGACATGTAGAGCCGACTAAAGCATCGGGCTAGTTAGTTGATCGTTTAAGGTCTTTGATTTATCAAATGCTCTCAATTTTAAAATTACATATTTTTGTCTTTGCCACTGATTGATCAAATGTCGTAGGTGATTCTTGACGAAATCACTGATGAATGTGAGTCGGTGATCACTATTGTAATGTTGTCGATAATTCCTTCTGAATCCATATATATTGATTACAATCAAAATCACAAACAGTCATATCATACGTAATTCCTTGGAACATCATTTATTACATTATCATCGGTAATGACCGACGAAAATGAGTCGACGATCACCAACTATATTATTGTCGATAATTCAGTCTAAATTTTTACAAATATTGATTTCAATCAGAAACACCAATTATCATATCATCGCTGATCAACAATTGAATTTTCTTAAACCCATTTGCTCCATTAATACTTTTATTGTTGTTTTGAAAAAATAAAAAATAAAAAATGACTCTTTAATAATTATGCCTTAGACCCTCCATTTATTTAACCTGCGCCTGTACATAATTAATGATATACATACTGTGGTGGTGCATATCTACGAATAAATAAAAGGAAAAGTCTACATGTACATAATAGTGTCCATAATGTGATGTTGACAAAATCATGTTGTTGATGTGAAAGTGTAAGATTTGAATTAATGGTTTGATCAAGTGACATATGTAATTATGGACACCATTATATATAAATTTATGTATATGTAGCACTTCTCTAAATAAAAACATGGAACTGACAATAGGGATAAGTATGTATACAATCCACAAACACGATTAAGTCATTTAGTCAATCAACGTGGCTCAACTGCACAATTTATTAAGGTCAATAATCCAACTAAATTTCATTCAAGAATCTAAAGCTATTTTGACTCCCCAACCATGTTATAGCTTACTGATTTTTCATAGCATTTGTATCTCAAACTTCCATTTTTTTATCTATCTTCATTTCCGTCGGCATATTTTATGCAGATAAAAACAAGGGAAAAAAAATATTAATCGATCATATAATTGACACATGATATATTATTCGAAAGACATTCGATAAACTTAGAAATAGAAGAAAAAAGGACAATATACATGTCCCCCTATGGCCCTCATCCTTCGAGTTTGCATCTCAACAATCAAAATCCGACTTATTGAAGTATTGCAATTTTATTGAATGGTTAAGAGATCGGAACAATGGTCACGCCTTGGATTTATTTCCCAATAGACATCAATTCGAGTCCCCTCAGAGCTACTGGAGTGAGTACCCGGCTGTAAATTTCAAAGTCCCGTGGGATTAGTCGAAGTGCGGACAAATTAGCCCAAACATTCACGGTTATAAAAAAAAAGATCGAAACAACATATTACCACCTTACCTCGCCCCTCGTCACAAGTGAATGAACATATTTGGAGCGTAGCTAGCTGACACGTGTAATAACTTTAACAACACGATAATAAATATTGTCGTTGAGCTTTCCCTTTTCCCAACTCAAAATATACCAAGCAATTTCATCCACCTCCATCCTATAAATTATTACCAACCCATCAAAAAGCGGAAAGTTGGGGGACAATTCACAAAATTGAGCATAAGAATTATTGATGCTTTCATTGATGAGGAAATTATCTACGTTTACTAATTTAGGAAATATAATAATTGCTAGAATATTGTGAATACCACATTGTTAGTAGGGAGATATTTTCAACAACTATTGTAGTAAATTCCAATACTCTCCCTCGAGTTGAGGAGTAGTAGTCAATAATTATGTGAAACATCAAAGATAAGGTTGTCATTTCCTTTTATAAAAAAATGAGCTAGCTAATTGATTCTTTGTAGTAATAGCGATTTAAGGAAATATAATTATTTTCTAATCGCCGTTTTTATTTAAACTATCTATGTACATTATATACAATGATGCGAGTGGTAACAATCCAAATTTTAAAGTTTAAATCGCTACCAAATTTATTTATTTCAATGGTGTAAGCACATTAAAATTAACTAGCACAAATTAATCAATAGAAGGAACTCATAACCAAGTAAAACATATTCCAAATAGATGCTAAAAACCATGCCTATCACATTTATTAGATAAATAATAAAATATTAATCCATTAATATAGCTTAACACATTGAAATTTATAACCATATAAATCATGTCTTAAATTTCTAAATAAAAATCTTACGGCCGGTTTATACATCGGTCGACTGAAGTGTTAAATCCGGTGAGATACAAAATCCTGTAATTTATGTAAATACGGTAAACAACATATTTCGATCAACCGGTATGTATTTCGGTTTTCGGTTGACCGAAGTATACAAGTTTTGAAATTTATTTTTATATCAAAATATTC